CTCCAATACAAGGTGAAAAGTGTCCCCAGAGAGATACAAATAAAGTGCTAAGGGAATTCAGAAGAAGGAGATGTCAAGCTGGGGGTAGAAACAGAGAAGAGGAGGTGTAGGAAGACGCTGGGTGGAGGCAGAAATTGTGCACTTAAATTTTAGCAGGAATGGACATGGAGTGAGGGGTGGAACAGCATCACAGGCAGCATGAATGAGAAAGAAGTCGAGTCTGGTAGACTGCTCCAGGTTTAAATCCAAGGCTAACTGGTGACCTTGAGCAAGTCACTTAAAATTTTTCTAAACTTTAGTTTACGGTGGTGAGTGTATACAGGGTGGAACGATAGAACCTTTCCAGCCTACCGTCCAAGGCTGTCAGGAGCTGTAAATGTAGTTTTAATGTGAAGGTAGTTAGAAAATGATAAAGTGCTATGCAAACCCTGGGATTGTTTTTATTATTAGAACAATAATTGATCCAGTAACAACAACAGTAATAAGAACACAATGCTGACTGAATCTGGATAGGCTAATGAAATGTTCAGCTCTCTATCCCTGGAAGGCTGAGGATATCCTTTAAATATCACTGCATTTTCCAAAAAACCTGCTACGACCAATCAGTGTATCTAAACTCCATCCATTCACTCATCAGCCCATCTGCCCATTCATCCATCCATCCATCCATCCATCCATCCACCCAATAAACCCTTAATGAGCGTATTTATGACCAGGCATCCTGTTCAGTGTCGGGCATACAGAAAAAAATTAGACCCTTTCTCTGTGCTCAAGGATTTCACTGTCTAGTGGGAAAAACAACCATATAAACCACAAATCGTTACTTATCTTAAAGCTATTTTCAGTAGGTTCTACCGAGGGTAACAAGTTCCACAGACCATGGATTATGGAATTTTTAAAGCTGAGTGATCTTAGAAATCATCCTTCTATCGCACTCATTTTACTGATGGGGAATTTGTGGTTATTATCTGTTGTGGCATTTATCATGACTTCCTCTTATTTGCCGCCAAGTGATTTTTTGCAGGTTTTCAGTTTGATTCAATTAATCTTTATTAAGCATCTACTGCATGCCAGGCTCTGTGCAAAAGCTATAGAAACAGTGATGGAGAAGGCACCGTTCCTGCCCTCAAGGAAGTCACAGTTAGGGGAAAAGGGTACACACATAGATAATAGTTATACTGCTTGAGGAAGACAGGATAGAGGCGAGCACAGGGGAGAGAAAGTACAGAAGAAAGTCCCCTGAAAATGGACTTGGGAGCCCAGGGAATTCTTTCCAGAAAGAAGGCCTGGGAGGCATGTCTTGAAGGGCAAAACAAAATATGTTAGATAATGATATAGGAGAAAAGCAAACCAGGCAGAAGGAACAGCATGAGCAAAGGCAGAGAGATGTGAAATAGCATGGCTTATGGGAGGAACTATGAGCAACTGGTGTTACTTGCGCTTGCAGCAGGAGGCAGTGAGGAATGAGGTTGGAAGGGAGGACAGAGGCTGACTGAGAGCAGGCTACCTTTTCCTCCTGGGGTTTGCTGAAAACATCCTTCTTCATTTTCCCTGTACTTGCTGAACTAAGAAACTCTACCACACCCCTCTTCCTCGCATCTTTCCACACCAAAGAGGCCAAATTTGTCAACTTTCATTTGGGGGCAGTAGGAAGAGTTACTGCCCATCCTTCATGTGGGGCTCAAGTGCCCCCACCTCTGTTCAGTCTCTCTGAGTCCTACTGGCCTATTTCTTAAGGCCCCGTGCGAGTGTGGCCTGGCTCGCCAGTGAGACCATAAGCTCCTAAGTGCTGGACTATGAATCACAGGCAAAGTTGAATAAACACGAGACTGAATCATATTGATTTCTGTTTCCAGGACACATAAAAAGTGCTGGGGCTTTGAGTTGGACCCACATAGACTTTACTCCAGCCATCCCTACTTACTAGTGACTACGGCTATGTTTTGAAATCTGCCCAATTTTCTCATCTATAGTTTCTCATCTATAAAATGGATGATGACTCCAGCTAATGGGTTGCTATAGACACAGGTGGAGATGGGGACCAGGGGAAATGTGGGGGCTCCCCAGCAGTGAGTATTTGGACCTGCAGTCATGGTAGGAAGCGGCCCAAGAGCAGAATGGGAATCTGACATGTTCGGGCCCCATGGATGAACACTTCACGGTGACAAAGTGTATGACCTGCTCTGTGTTATCTGCCTCCTTGGAATTAAGGAGGTTGGATCCCTGAGAGATTAATCAATTGGCCCAAAGTCACATACCAAGCAAGTGGCAAGGATTGTGTGGTGAGAGGGAAGGAGGGGGGTGCCTAGAGAGTGCTTTAGAGGAGAGTGGGGTACACATTTTGTACAGAAGATATGGGGTAGGAGGCAAAAGTTTAATGGCAGTAAATGTTTAACAACTGGCTTGCCAGGAAAAGTCAGCCCAAGAGTCATTTGCAGTGTTTGCTGATTCCTGTGGTGTAAATGCTCCCACTGTAACTGATTCCAAGCTATCAATGTGCCCTCGCTGAATGTGGAGTTAGATGAGATGTGCACAGTTGGCTTTTATCAGCCAGCTACAGCATGCCACAGAGGGCTTCAGGGCGGCTGTGTGGGGTGGGTGGGGAGCCCTCCTTTAGCTTGCATGGGATCTTCCTCCAAACCCTGTAAGATAGGGGAATTATACTCTTGTTTTATAGAGTGGGGAAGCTGGGGATCAGAAGGTGGCTCCCCCACCTCAGCTACTGAGGCTCCCTGCAGGCAGTGAGGGCCTCCAGTCCCGGTGGTGCAACCCTAGAGCCCTAGCTCCAACCCGACATGCCCTCCTCCCATTCATATGTTGTTGCTGGCATCAGCTTTCAAACTCAGCTCAGTTTCAGATGGATCTCCAAGAGATCGTTGGTTCAGGCACAGTTCAGGCTCTCCTCCCTCACCACCCGGGCTGTTTCTCAGCTCCATCCCTGGAGATGAGATAGACTCAAGGACAGACTCAAGGCTGTACTTCCAGTAAAACAGGAGGCAGGAGCAGGCGCAGAAAGCTCCACAGAGGCAGCAGCAAGTGAAGTGGACAAAGAAATGCCTAGACCTGGAGCCTGAGCCTGACCCTGAAATTTGATGCTGTGTCTGGCCCTGAAACCAATACAAACACCACATCTCTGCTGCTATGGACATAGTAATGATAGATTGTTAGGAAAGCATAAGGTCTAAATATATGATCTATAGCCTTCAGCCAAATAGGTGGCCTGCCTGGAGATGGAGGGAGTGAAACCAAGAAGGCAGAAGGGAAAGGGAGGGAAGGCAGGGCAAGCTGGAGGAGGTGAGTTTGGGGGTAAGCAATGGAGAGTCTACCCAGCCATGGGAAATAAATGAATTCCCTGATTTGTGTCAGAGTCCTAGCATTATGATGTGCAGTGGTGGATTTGGAGGGGGAAATGACCATGCCATTGATAATAATAACAATAATCAAGATTATTGTGTAGTAATAATTAGAATTATTCAGGCTTCTGAGATTATGGATTTATATTACAAGTAATATTTAGCTCTTAATCATCAGTGCTGATAGTGGAGTAAAGAGGTGAGGACTGGTACACAGGGTACTCCGCGTTCGTTTAATGGGAATCTGCTCCTCCCTGATCTGGCCACCTGCCCCTCTCCATTCAGGACTTTTGCTTTAGAAACTCTGTGTAGTATGAGTATGTGCATATGTGGGCCAGTGTGTGTACACATGAACTTGTGTGTGTGTGTGTGTGTGTAGGAAAGGGGTTGGACAGAGGCAACAGAGCATGGGGAAGCAGGAGTAAGACAGGACGATGTCTCCCTCTTAAAATCCTAGGAGTTCCTGGGGAATCCCTTAATGTCTCTTCCTCACTGATCCCTAAGGCTGCTGCAGTTAGAAATGGAAATTAATTCAACTCTAGTTCCATCTCTTTGGAACTCCCTTTGCACACAGTGGGAGCTTAATAAATACTTGATGATCATGGTTTTGAACCTGGGAAGCCAGCAGCTGTCCCTAGCTCTGATTCTGAGTCCCATGGGACAGATCAGTTAGGGAGCAACCCCAGGGGTTCTCCATTGTTCCTGTCAGACCCTCTGATGACTCCCCCATCAGCTGTCAGGGAAGGGCTGAAACCAGGGTCCACTTCACACACCCTGCTTTGCGGCAGACAGTTCCTCCTTCACAGCTTCTTTCTTTGCCCTGGAGCAACCACTTTGCAACGAGCACAATGGAAGAACATCCTGGGAGACAGCGTGGGGACTGTGGGGTCAGATGGACCTGGGTTCAAATCCCAGCACCCTTAATTACAAGCGGGGTAGTATCTAGCAAGTTACTTATCTAAGCTTCAGTGACTTTTTTTTTCTTTTTTTTTTTACAGTTTGCCTCTGTAAAAGGAGAATGATGACATCATTTTCTTAGGGTTGATGTGAGGGTTAGAAATAACAGAGAGGCGCCTGCACACATATTGCAGGCGTTCTGTCAGTGGTAGGTGCGCTTCTGCACCTGGCATCACTGGATCCTGGTCACTGCTTCTGTGACCTTGAAGTTGTTACTCAATCTCTTGGAGCATTAGCCGGTAAAAACCCACCTCCTTGGGCTTGGAGGCTGTAACTGGAAAATATGTGTGAAGGCATCTATCGTACACCCTGACTATTAATAACGGTTTGTCTTCCGGCTTCCTGCCCCATCCCCGCCCCACCCCCGCCAGGGGGTCCCCCGCCCCTCCTCAGGAGGCCCTCTGCCCCTGCTGCCCGCGCTCTGCGAGGGTGCATCCCTTATCGCCTTGGCCTCACGGGGTTCTGCCATACCTGTCGGAGGGACAGAGGGCAGCCGCCCAGCTCGGGGTGGGGAGCGGAAACTACAGATCCCAATCCTCGCCGCGCTGCCCGCCGCCGCCGGGGCTGGGAACTGAGGCCCTCAGGCCCCTCCTCCGGGGCGGAGCCTACGAGGGGGCGGGGCCAGGAGGTGGTTGGAGAGTTAAGCCAAGCCAATGAGACCAGCTGCTAATAAGTGGGCTTGGCTTACAATATAACAGTGGCAGGAGGAGGAGAGCAAAGCTATTGAGCCAGCGAGGAGTGAAGCTGAGCCTGGCCTCACACGCTCCTAGAGGACCATCTCCTGAGACAGAGTTCTTTCTCCCCCTTCTCTTTCTCCAAGCTCCCCTCCTGCCTTCCTCCCTGCCCGGTACAATGCATTCTTGAGTGGCAGCGTCTGGACTCCAGGCGGCCCCAGAGAACCGAAGCAAGCCAGAGAGAGGACTGGAGCCAAGACACTCTGGTGGGGGAGCTTGGATGCCTGACTTTCTTTGAGGACATCTTTGGAGCAAGGGTGGCTTTGGGGTGGGGGGTTGTGCTGCAGGGAATCCAGCCAGGCCCCAAGATGGACACTTCTGGGCACTTCCATGACTCGGGGGTGGGGGACCTGGATGAAGACCCCAAGTGTCCCTGTCCATCCTCTGGAGATGAGCAGCAGCAGCAACAACAGCAGCAGCAGCAACAGCAGCAGCAACAACAGCTTCAGCAGCAGCAGCAGCAACAGCAGCAACCACCACCACCGCCAGCGCCACCAGCAGCCCCCCAGCAACCCCCAGGACCCCCGTTGCAGCCTCAGCCTCCGCAGCTTCAGCAGCAGCAGCCACCGCATCCCCTGTCTCAGCTCGCTCAACTCCAGAGCCAGCCTGTCCATCCCGGCCTGCTGCACTCCTCTCCCACTGCTTTCAGGGCCCCCCCTTCGTCCAACTCCACCACCATTCTCCACCCTTCCTCCAGGCAAGGCAGCCAGCTCAATCTCAATGACCACTTGCTTGGCCACTCTCCAAGTTCCACAGCCACAAGTGGGCCTGGTGGAGGCGGCCGGCACCGGCAGGCCAGCCCCCTGGTGCACCGGCGGGACAGCAACCCTTTCACAGAGATCGCCATGAGCTCCTGCAAGTACAGCGGTGGGGTCATGAAGCCCCTCAGCCGCCTCAGCGCCTCCCGGAGGAACCTCATTGAGGCTGAACCCGAGGGCCAACCCCTCCAGCTCTTCAGCCCCAGCAATCCCCCCGAGATCATTATTTCCTCCCGGGAGGACAACCATGCCCACCAGACCCTGCTCCATCACCCCAATGCTACCCACAACCACCAGCACGCCGGCACCACCGCCAGCAGCACCACCTTCCCCAAAGCCAACAAGCGGAAAAACCAAAACATTGGCTATAAGCTGGGACACAGGAGGGCCCTGTTTGAAAAGAGAAAGCGACTGAGTGACTATGCTCTGATTTTTGGGATGTTTGGAATTGTTGTTATGGTGATAGAGACCGAGCTCTCTTGGGGTTTGTACTCAAAGGTAGGGGCTGCGGTTTCTCTTTATACCTTGAACAAAAGGAATATGTAGGTAGGTGGGGGGGTGGGGGGAGAGAGAGAGAGAGAGAGAGAATGGGGAGAGAGATTGAGCCTGGGGAGAGGGACAGAGCGAGAGGAGAGGTGGTGGTGGGGAGAGGCTTTTGCTCAATTGTATTGAAGTCTAACTTCCCAGGGTATCTCTTCAAATCCCAGCAGAATTCATTCCTCCTCTTCTTGGGGAGATGGGGGGACATCCCCATACACTGTGTCTAATTTGCAGACTCTGTGTTAGGGAGGATTAAAGAATCCCTTCTGAGAAATCATTTTTCCTCCTGGCTCACTTGTACTAAAGCATAACCCAGCAGCTTAACGCACCAATTAATTACACTCCGCCTTGATGTGCTTGCCAGTCCTTGCGACTTCCCCTCCGCTCCTCCCTCCCTGCTCCATTCCATTTTCCTGAGGATAAAAAAGAAATAAATGTCTGGGTGGGGGGTGGGGATTCCTAGCTATTTCCCAAGTCCCCATTCTATCTGCCTTCTCCCTCTCTCCCCAAGTTTCTTTTCCCTCCTCTTCCCTGAAAGACTTAGGGCAAAATCCGAAAGCAGCCGTGACCTGAGCCTCCTGGGGACATGGGGTAAAAATACAGGCAGAGGAAATCGGCGGTCCTTTCCCTCAGGAAAGAGGACTCGGAATAAACCTGCTGCTGCCTCGTCAACATCCCCTGATAAAAATGGCTACAGGTGTTACCCGGCAGAGCAGATGGGCCAGCCTGGGCACCGGCGGGGGCTGGGGGGAGCCCCGCTGAATGGGATGACAGGGTTTCCCAGGCAGTCCTGAGCGAGCGCCCGTGCCCCAGCGCAGCGACTCAGCCCAGGCTCTCCCCTCCCACCCCAACTCCTTCTCGGGATAAATAAGGATGAGTGTGTGTTCGAGTGTGTGAGTGCGCCCCGGGAAGGAGACGCAGGCGCGGCTAGTGGGGGAGCTGGCCCCACAGTTCCAGCCTCTCAGTCCAACCCCAAGACGAGGAGGGGGTTTTCTTCCCACAAGGGGTTTGGAAACCGAGTCCTCTGAAAGAGTGGGCTTTGAGGAAGGTGGGTTCCTGTCAGTGTGCTGCTTGCTGGGAGTCTTCCTGCTGGCTGCCGGCTGGAAGGCTTTGGAGGGCTGGGAATCGTTGGACAAGTAGATTTTTCCCACTACACTCTCCTCCTCCAATATGTTGGTGTGTGTGTGCGTGCACGTGCTCGCTTGTTGCTTGGATTTCTCTACTTATTTGTCATTTTGGGCTGGGGGTGGCTGGGCTGGCTGGCGGGTAGCTTGGAGGGGTTCAGCTGTTGGAGGTTTCAAATAGAGCTTGTTTCAGGCAGGGCACAGCTGCTGCGAGACTGTCACATTCCATGTTGAAATCCAGCCGCAAAACCTACGAGGTGCTGATCGGGTTTCCCCATCCCAGCCTTGCTCTGACAGAGGCTCCGAGGCTCAAGCAATGGGTGGGGCAGACCTGTCAGAGGACCCAAGTAGGCAGAAGCTGGACTTCCAGGCAGAAAGCCCCCCCGGGGACCCAGCTACTCAGAGGGGCTGCCCCATCCCAGGGTAGCTCCTGGAAGCCGACTTCATTTGTCTACTTAGCTCGAGGATTTGAACCCCTTGGTGAGCAGAAGTGAGTGGGGTTTCCCCTGGAATTGCAGCTCACTTAGTCATTCCCGGTAATGAGCCTGAGTCTGTGAGTCCTTCTGCTGCTGCTGCCTTCTCAGAACCGCCTCTCCTGCTGGGCACTTTGGAAGAGGAGGCTGCCAGCTTCAGCAGGGCTGGCAGCTGCCCTGGGCATAGCCCTGGCTCCTTCCAGTCACCCTCGTGGGGTGGAGGAGGAGCTGATGAAGCATCAAGGGTTTTGGGTGTGGGGAAGGGGCGAGACCAGCATTTCCTTTTTCAGTGACCTCTTAAGGGAACAGCTCTTCCCATAGACTGCTCAGTGTGGGCTCCGTCTGGACACATTTGACTTGCTGCTGCAGGGAGGTTGCTTCTGGGCAGGGAAGGGGCCTCTTCGCTGCCTGGACCTGGAGCCACCTTGATGAGTGGCTTGATGGTACACCTTGATGGTGTACTCAGGCAAAGGAGCTTCCCCGTCCCAGAAAGCCGACTCTGGGTGAAGGAAGGGTGGGGTGGTCCAAGGGATGGGCTTCCTCCATTTCTAAATCACTGACCCACCAGCTGATGGCATCAGGGAGGGAGCAGCGACGAGGAAGGTCCTGCTTGCCTCAACTGCTGATAGCTGCTTCCTGTGCACCTTGTGATTGCTGTGGGTGTGAGGGGCAGGTCCCGCGCTCACCTGCTCACCTGCTCACTCACCCCCCATCACTCCATCTGTGCCCTGAGTCATTATGGAGCCAGTGTTTTGTGGGTGTCTCTTACGTCAGGCCCCTTGATCACAGGAGGAAGTAAGCAACTAGCCCTCTCCTGTCCTAGAGGCAAATAGCATCATTTGAAAGAATAAAATTGAAGTTTGAGTCCCAGCCTGCCACTTCCAGTTCTGTGATTTTGGAGAATCCATGTAGCTTCTGGGAGCCTGCTTCCCCAGTGAAGTGGGGAGAATGTACTAATGAGACAAGCGGAGGACACACTGTGCTGTGCCTGCCCGCCCGGGACTGCTGTTGCGGTTATTAATGATGAGGCGAGGAAAGAGCTACCTTTCCCGGTTCTCTAACTCTGGCTCCAGAGTTAGTTGGGATCTTAGCAGGTTGGGAACTAAGCCTTGTTGAGTGAGAGTGAGTGAGAAGCTGTGTCTGGAGGGAAGAAGTTCTGAGAAGGGGCTGGTCTTCTGATGAGACACCACCTCTTACCACGGGTCTGCTGGAGGGTAGAGGAGCATCTGTTCCCCAGTCTCATGGAGAAAATAACTCCGTGACAAGAGGGTTTGGGTTAGAATGAAAACTCACCAACTGGGAGAACTCAGAGATAGTCAGTGGAGACTGGGGGAGGGTGGGCGAGTCTCTTTTGCTGGAGAACTTTCTGGTTAGCATTGCTGATGAGTTGGAGGCAGGAGGATGGATGGGGGCACCCCAGGCGCCCTGGTCGGATTGGATAATTCTGCACTGATGGTGGACGTTCTCACTCACAGGCCCCCACAGCCCCCAAGTGATTGAGCTGCTGCTCTTGGAGGGTCTCTGCTTTTTTCCAGGGGGCTGTGGCCTTTCTGCTGGGTGCGGATTTCCCCACTAGGGCCTGGTACATGGCATGTCCTCAGCTACTCAGAATTAACTAGTGTTAGGGAACTAGTGTGAAACTAGTGTGAGGAGGTAAGAGATTGCTCCCACCCTCACATAGGCTGAGGTGGGGCTCAGATAACAGGAGAGCTGTTCAGAAACACCCAGGGCCCTGAGGCCAAATGGAGAGAACTGTGGCGAAGGCTCTGACTGGCTTCTCAGTCAGGGATGCTGGGCTGCCCCTGAGCTGAATGAGTCTAGAGCTTTTTAAAATAGGTGGCTACTCTCTGAGCGCCTGGACACTATGGCAGGGCCAGGCCTAGAGAGCCTGTTGAGAAATCTTAGTCATGTTGTTTCTACCATGTTAGTGCTGGTCAGAATTAAGGCAAGGAGGGTTAGGAGACTCTCCTTGGGATTCTTTATTTTGGGGGGGGGGGTGGTGGTTTGAGGCACACACTCTGATGCCTTAAACTGTCTTCTGTGCTCTGTCCACTGGGCTGAGAGAGAGTTGAGGATGGGCAAGGCCTGGCCTCCTCTCCTCCACAGGCAGTGGGCTTCCCTTTCCAGCCATCCTGCTGGTGGCTGAGCTGTGCCTCTGTCCAGCGGGCCAGTCGCTGGAGAGCCTTGTTACTTAGGGACCTCAGGCATCTTCATGTGGGGACATCACAGGGGAGGACAGGAGCTGCTAGGGTAAAAGGCAGCTCTCCCTTTCCTCCACGTTGGCACAACCTAAAACCACTCCTTCACCCCCAGCCTCACAATCCATTCGTTTTGTCTCCTAAGCAGTACTGACCTTTTGCCTTCCCGTGACCTGTTCCTGCCCACCCCGCCAATGTCCTGTCTCTTGCAGGCCCCGCTACCCCAGTCTGACCTTGTGCTGGGTCCCCCAGGCCGTGGGCAGAGGGGTTGATATGATGGTGCTTATGGAAATAATCCCCTGACGCTCTTCAAAGAAAATGGGGTCCCTTAGGGCCAACCCTTTGTGTCTGCTGACCTCAGAGGTTGGTGAGTCCACCCCCAGCCTCTAGATGGATGATTTCATAGGATTACAGGTCCCAACCCCCTGGCCCTCTGTGGTCCTTGGTCACGAGGTCTTGTCTGCAGAAGGGCAGAGGCGCACCAGGGTTGTGGCTGTCATTGGTGTCAGGGGTGGGCATCCAGCTGTTTGGGAGAAGATTACTTAAGGGCTCTTATATCTGTGGTTTCGGGCATCCTGGGAAAGCAGGCACAGGACAGGCCTCTTTCCATGGGTCCTCCTTTGGGATGACTTGCAAGACAGGGTGCAGAAAGCAGGGCATTTTATAAGGGATGGGTTACAGGCAGGAGCCTGAGAGTCAGTCCCGAGGGCCGCTGAGCGCGTGTTTTATCTTCACGGGTCACACCGAATGGCTTGGTCCCAGGAGGGCAAGGACAGTTCTGGGAACCTGAAAAGGATGTCCCGTCTTCCATCTAGGGAGTCACCAGGGGGTGGTGACTTTATTTGTGCCCTATGTGGACAGTCTGCAAATGAGTCAAACATTTGTAACCCGCAGGGCGGGGGGATGGGGGTGGGGAGCTGACTTTTATGTGTGCGTCTCCTCTACTTGTCACCACACTATTTTTAACTGCCTGGGGGGATGGGGGGGGGACTTCACGATACATCCAGACTTCCCTTCTTTGCAGGCAGTGTCACCCGCCATCTCTGGGGTCTTTATCCACCACAAGGCTAATTAGTAAGCTGTTGCATGGCCTTGCAGTTCCCTTAGTGGACTTTCAGGAAGGGGAATAGTGAGGCCATGGTCAAAAGATCTGCTTTAAAAAA